AGTGGGGGTAAGACTGGGTTATGGGACTGGATGCCCCAAGGAAACCCCCCACACACACCTCCTCTCCCATCATCTGAGGGGAGACAAAAAGGTGACCATAAAGCTTGATTTGGCTCCTGGTTTCTGTACTTCTCTATTGTAGAAGGAACTACAAAGTTGGAGCTGTGAATAGCACTGTCAATAGTCATTTCTACACATACGAGCAAGCTTCTAATTGTGTCTTCTCCCTACTATGAACCAAAGAGAGTCACACAGATAGAATCATAGAGTTGGAAGGAACCTCCAGGGCCATCCAACCCCCTGCACAATGTAGGAAATTCACAAATACCTCCCCCCACACACACACCCAGTGATCCCTGTTCAATGCCCAGAAGATGACAAAAAAAAACCCTCCAGGATCCCCAGCCAAACTGTCCTGGAAAAAAATTGCTTCCTGGCCCCAAGGTGGCAATCAGCATTTCCCTGTACATGTAAGAAAGGGCCAAATGTGAAGATAGGAAAGATTCTGCTGCTCAGAGGAACAGCTCCTGCACAGAAGCCGTGGTGCAAGACACCGATCTGGAATCACCCCTTCTCTGCTCTTCTCTTACCCCCCCCCCCAATAAACTGAATGTGCAAGGCTGCATGCAGAGAACTAAGAAGCTTCGAGCCAGCTCAGCCTGGCCTGCTGCCCTTACTAGGCCTCTGAGCAACAGCCTATGCAATATCGGTATATTGCAACAACTCAGATAGGCATCTTGTGCTCTCATCCAGGCAGTACCTGAGGTGGTGCCTCCGTTGTCGCACACTACCTTTGCTACTGACCGAGAACACCAGAAGCCAGCTTCCGCCTTATATACTTACAACCATAGGTCCCATGTGACTTTTCTGTCGCATCAGCAAATAACCTCAGCTGACTGCAGTGCCCCCAGTCCTGCCAAGCCTCTCTTTCCCAACTCACGCCTCCTAGCTACTGCTCTTGCAAACTGCCGATCAGCCCACATCTCCTTATAGTGCGACTGAAGCGGCATGGCAGTGAAGTGTGCATTCCAAAAGGCCCCCAGTTCAACTCTTAGTTCAGCCCCAAACCCACAAAGTAGCTTAAGGAAGCAATTGTCCCCTCCACCCATCCATCTGTCTGTAATATGGGGGACTCCGGGCTACCTTTCAGGATTGTCGTAAGCAGGACTATTTTTGGGCAGGAACGCACAGGAACGGAGTTCCGGCTGGCTCCTGAGTTGGCCACGCCCAACAGGAATTCATTAGCATAATAGGCCACACCCAACAGCAGAAATTCATTAGGATTGGCTACATTCAAGGTGTGTGGCCTAACATGCAAAGGAGTTCCTGCTACAAAAAAAGCCCTGGGTTTTGACAACAAACAAGGTAAACAGAATAAGAAGCAAAAGGTGGGTGTGGCTGGATGAGTACATTTCTGGTAACACAGGGGCGTGGTCTCATATGCGAATGAGCTGTGCTGTCAGGGATGTGGCCTAATAAGCTAATGAGTTTCTGCTGTTGGGTGTGACCAATTATGCTAATGAGTTCCTGCTGGGGGGTTTCTACAAAAGGCTTATTGAGAGTGTGAAGTACCTCAAGGAATGTGTGGTATTAGTAGTACTAAGCCACTTTGAGCCTCCTTTGGTGGAAGAAAAGGTGGGCTATATATTATTAAATTAATAAATTTGGATGTGCCAGCTCTGGGTTGGGAAATACCTGGAGATTTGGGGGTGGAGCCTGAGGAGGGCGGGGTTTGGGGAGGGGAGGGAGTTCAGTGGGGTATAATGCCACGGACTCCACCTTCCAAAGTGGCCATTTTCTCCTGGTGAACTGATCTCCATTGCCTGGAGATCAGTTGTAATCCTAGGAGGTCTCCAGCCACCGCCTGGAGGTTGGCAACCATAACTGATGCAATGTTGCAGGTGGAGTTCGTGGTAGAAGGACACATGACCTTAGCTCTTATAGGGACCAATGGTGGCTCAGAGGCAGCAGAACTGGAACTGAAGGTTTGGTGGGCCAGCTAGTTCAGTAAACACCCCCACAGTAGGCAGAGAGTCCCATATCCACTCATCTCTTTGGCCTGAGACCTGGTTTACATGTGCAGGAGAACAAAATAGCAGAGGTCTTGCATGGTAGAATCAGCTGCCCCGCTTCAGACAGCAAGCAGCAAATTTCAACTTGGGACATCCCTTTGAATAAAATGTCTTTTGCAAACAGAAAACAAGTGCCGCGGGGAGAATGGGCCTACCCGCCTCCATCTCCACTCTGTGCCGGATTAAGAACTGGCACCATCTGAAAACGTGAGCCTCCTCCACCTGTAGTCTGAAGTGACGCATTCTCATTCCGCCACCTCATCCCCCTGCATGTGTGAACCACGCTGGAGATAATGCTCAACCCTCCCTGCTCAGCTGGGTGCTTCTCAGGAAGTGCTCAGACCATTTCATACATTTGTAAAGCTTACAACCCTGCAAGGTACACAGGCATCATTAGTTCCATATTGCAGATGGGAGCCAAAAGATGCCAGGATGAGTTTGTGGTGCTGCTGCAATAGGAACCAGAGAGAGTCTCTCTTAGCTCATATGCTACTCTAGCTTTGTGATGGATTGCTGGGGGTGAATTTATGCCTTGGGCATCTCTGCTGGCAGCACTACAAACTCGGCTTCCAGTTAACCTGATAGAAAGAAAGGGAGCAAAGGTATTCTGCTAACAATATCAAAGGGAAGTGGCCTTCTACAGCTAGCTATAATGTGCTGCGAGCCAAAGACAGAAGAACCTCCTCCCACCACTGCCCTTCCAACAATTGTGCCTTGATGTGCGGCTGTTCAGCATTGCTATGACAACCGCATCCCCATTCCTGCAGCTCCTGACCTGGATTTCAGTGGGGATATTGGCACACATTACCTCCCCCATGATGGCAAGCAAAGCCAAGAAGGAAAGCGATTCAGCACCATCTGGAAGGATGAGGTGGACAGGC